TTCGCACACCATAGATAAACCACTGGCTAACTAATCGTTACTTCGGACAACAGCTCGGAACACGGTGACGCGCACCATACAAGAACACACTGATGCCCGAAGGCTGGCTGGGCGGCGACCCATCGCCCACTCCCAGCCCAGCGAGCGGCCGCTCCCACGGGCGAATTGGGAGTCACCTCACCTCCTCCTCATCCTCCTTTCCTCGTCCCACTCCTCCTCCTCCTCCTCCTCCTCCTCCTCCTCCTCCTCCTCCTCCTCCTCCTCCTCCGTCTCCGCTTGTGCTTACTCCGCCTCCTCCCCCCCTCCTCCTCCTCCTCTTCCTCCTCCTCCGTCTCTTCCTCCTCCGCCTCCTCCGTTCCCCCTCCCACTCGAACTCCTCCACCCTGCTCCTGCTCCTCAGCCTTCCCCTTCCCCTTCCTCCTCCTTCACCTGATCCTTCTGCTCCTCCTCCTAATCCTCCTCCTCCTCAGCAGCAGCATCACCACCACCCATCATCTCCATCCACCACCACCATCATCATCAACATCATAATCATCCTCATCAGCCGCAGCATCAGCATCCTCATCAATATCATCAATATCAGCATCATCATCAGCAGCATCATCATCAACAACATCACCATCCCCAAGCCCCTCCCTGCTCATGTTTCTCCCCCGCCTCCGTTTCCCCCTCCTACTCCTCATGTTATTCTTCATGACGCTGACGCTGCTGGCAAGAGTGCTGCCATGCCTCCTCCAGCTCCTCCATCCGTTCCTTTATGAAGACCTCCCTGTCGCACCCCAGGACATGTTGGTAGGGCGGGCTGGGCGTTTCGCCTGAGACCTCCTCACCACTCTTAGTTATTAGGCATAAACTGTGCAGCGGATTCACGGACCGAGGGCGGGCCGTTTTCACAATGTGGCCCCCGTCTCAAAAACGTTTGCAGGAGCTTCACGGGTGGAGGGCACCTCCTTTTCAAAATGTGGCTCTCGCCTTGGCGCCGCGGGTAATCGCCGTACGAGTTAACAAGTGTTTCAAGTGCTAGTGGCGTTGACGTCCCAGAAGCAGCGCTGTGGCACGATGTGGGCTGTCAGGGCGCAACAGTCACGTTAATTCGCGGTGTTGAAGTTCCGGGGGTTGCGTTCTGGCGTGGTTCAGGATCGTCAGGACACACCTGTGACGCTGACCTGCCGCGCTGAAGTCCCAGGAATGGTGTTCTTGGCGCGGTTCAAAACTTCACGTTTGTCTTCCAACGGCGCAATTTCCACAGTGATAAGAAATCCTTGTAGGGATCTCTGAAGAAGGAACTTGGGTGAAGTGATCATTGCAACATCGTTGATGAGCCTTGGGTTTACACTAGTCCTCCTCCTGCTTCCTTCCTCATTCCATTCCACTTCCTCCCTCTCCCTATCCGCCTGCGTATCCCCCCCCCCTGCTGTTCCTTCTCCTCCTACGCCTCTTCCTCCGCCGAAGCCTCCTTCTCCTCCCCTCGTATCCTCCCCCTCCTCCTCTTCCTCATCCTCCACCTCCTCCTTCTCCTCCTTCTCCACGCCCTCCTCCTCCTCCTCCTCCTCCTCCTCCTGGAACCGCACCGCCACCCCTCCTCCTCCTCCTCTCCTCCTCCTCCTCCTTCTCCTTTACCTCTTTCTCCTCCTCCCTCTCCTCCTCCTCCTTCTCTTCATCCACTCATCCTCTGCCTGCCCCTCCTCCTCCTGCACCTTCCCCCCCACACCTTGTCCGCGTCGTGCCAGTGTCGTGTCGCAATGGGGTGTAGTGATTCGTTTCCATCCTTGAAACCCCTGCCGTGGCGCCCGTGCAAACTTTCTAGAGCAAACTGATGTTCAGCCGACTGTGTGCCGCGTTTGGCTGATCGGTTTCATGCTTCATCGGCCTTGCAATCCATATAAACAACTCCACATCCTCCTGCCCCCCCCAGATTGAGGGGCAACAATAGGGGGGAGCTGGCATGGGGGAGGGGAACATCGACCCGAATCGGCGATACATTACCGATAGATCGGCGATTGGCCCCCGATAGCGAATCCGCACGCATTGGGGCTCTATCAGACCAACTATCGGTGATCAATGGGCGATTGGGGGTCGATGCACCCACCCCTATGCCTATCCTCCCCGATTGGGGAGACCAAAAGGTACCCATACCGCTACTCCCCGGACCTCTCCTGGGGTGCGTTCTGACCGAGGTTTCGAAGCGAATCCAGCGGTGGCGACACGGGCCTTCCAGGAGTCTCCCAAAAAAGGAAACGAGGCAAGGGAAGCGGTATCGGTACCGCTTCCTCATCTGACCGATCGTCGCCCCCCCCCCCCCCCCCCCAAGATCCCTGTCTCCTGCCCCTCCTCCCCCGCCCCAGCCGACCCGAGCACCGCCCACCGCCCCTTTATAAAAAGTGCCCCCGTCGAGGCCCGCGGCCCGCGCATAGTCCTGCCCCCAACCCACCCACCCCATCTCCGCGGCCAAGAGATCACGTGCGGGGACAGCCAGCGACCACAACTACATCGATGACACACCCTGGGGGACGCCGTGCTCATGAGCAGTCGGGATAACAAATTACGCTACCGAGGAACCCCACATACTTATATTATGGCTGGAGTGATGATAGCTGAAGTGAAGCATGTGAGAATGATGTTGGTGGCCGGTGCCCCGCCGATACCGTTGGTGACGCCACTCAAGAGGAGAGGTACTATGCTGTGCTGTGCTGAGCTAAGCTGTGCTGTGCTGAGCTGTGCTGCGCTGTGTGGGAAGGAGAAGGAGGGAGGAGGAAGGTGGGGTGTGAGGAGGAAGGTGGTGTGTGAGGGCTGCGGTGCGACGAGGCAGGGAAGAAAACCAGACCCCGACTAAGCATGTGGGGAAAAAACAACGCCTGCTATGTCCTGGACGACCGTCATGCATAGCGGCCGCGGTGAGGGGCCACCCCCTGCGCACCCCCTATGATGTCGGAACATGCCACGCATGCTATGCCCTGGACGACCGTCTCGCATGGCGGCCGCGCTCAAGGACCACCCCGTGCGCACCTCCTGTGGGGTCGGAAAATGCCACGCCTGCTATGCCCTGGACGGCCGTCTCGGATAGCGGCCGCGCTCAGGGACCACTCCCTGCGCACCTCCTATGGTGTCGGAAAATGCCACGCCTGCTATGCCCTGGGCGACCGTCTCGGATAGCGGTCGCGCTCAAAGACCACCCCCCGCGCACCTCCTATGGTGTCGGAAAGTGCCACGCCTGCTATGCCCTGGAAGACCGTCTCGGATAGCGGCCGCGCTCAAAGACCACGCCCTGCGCACCTCCTATGGCGTCGGCAAATGCCATGCCTGCTATCCTCTGGACGGCCGTTTCGGATAGCGGCCGCGCTCAGGGACCACCCCCTGCGCACCTATGGTGTCGGAAATTGCCACGCCTGCTATGCCCTGGACGACCGTCTCGGATAGCGGTCGCGCTCAGGGACCACCCCCTGCGCACCTCCTATGGTGTCAGAAAATGCACCGCCTGCTATGCCCTGGACGACCGTCTCGGATAACGGCCGCGCTCAGGGACCACCCCCTGCGCACCTCCTATGGTGTCGAAAAATGTCACGCCTGCTATGCCCTGGACGACCGTCTCGGATAGCGGCCGCGCTCAGGGACCACTCCCTGCGCACCTCCTGTGGGGTCGGAAAATGCCACGCCTGCTATGCCCTGGGCGACCGTCTCGGATAGCGGCCGCGCTCAAGGACCACCCCCTACGCACCTCCTACGGCGTCGGAAAATGCCACGCCTGCTATGCCCTGTACGACCGCCTCGGATAGCGGCCGCGCTCAAAGACCACCCCCTGCGCACCTCCTATGGTGTCGGAAAATGCCGCGCCTGCTATGCCCTGGACGACCGTCTCGGATAGCGGCCGCGCTCAAGGAACATCCCCTGCGCACCTCCTATGATGTCGGAAAATGCCACGCCTGCTATGCCCTGGACGACCGTCTCGGATAGCGGCCGCGCTCAAAGACCACGCCCTGCGCACCTCCTACGGTGTCGGAAAATGCACCGCCTGCTACGCCCTGGACGACCGTCTCGGATAGCGGCCGCGCTCAAAGACCACCCCCTGCGCACCTCCTATGATGTCGGAAAATGCCACGCCTGCTATGCCCTGGACGACCGTCTCGGATAGCGGCCGCGCTCAAAGACCACCCCCTGCGCACCTCCTATGGTGTCGGCAAATGCCACGCCTTTTATGCCCTGGACGACCGTCTCGGATAGCGGCCGCGCTCAGGGACCACCCCATGCGCACCTCCTATGGTGTCGGAAAATGCCACGCCTGCTATGCCCTGGACGACCGTCTCGGATAGCGGCCGCGCTCAAGGACCACCCCCTGCGCACCTCCTATGGTGTCGGAAAATGCCACGCCTGCTTTGCCCTGGAAGACCGTCTCGGATAGCGGCCGCGCTGAAAAACCACGCCCTGCGCACCTCCTACGGCGTCGGAAAATGCCACGCCTGCTATGCCCTGGACGACCGTCTCGGATAGCGGCCGCGCTCAGGGACCACCCCCTGCGCACCTCCTATGGTGTCGAGAAAGTGCCGCTCCTGCCATGCCCTGGACGACCTGAGCTGTGCTGTGCTGTGCTGTGCCGAGCTGAGCTGAGCTGTGCTGTGCTGAGCTGAGCTGTGCTGTGCTTTGCTGAGCTGAGCTGAGCTGAGATGTGCTGAGCTGTGCTGAACAGTGCTGTCCTGTGCTGTGCTGTGCTGTGCTGTGCTGTGCTGCGCTGTGTGAGGAGAGGGAGGTGTGCGCGTGTGTGTGAGACGCGGGTGCGACGAGGCAGGGAAGCAAACCAGAACCCCACCAAGCAAGTGGGGAACAAACAGCTTCCCACCAATTGTGGTCGATGTGGCGTCCCAGGACGGCCAGAACGACCACAACCACAACCAAATTGCTCATGTCGAGGTCGGTGGGTTCTCCCTCGAGGGGCCCTCCCGAAAAGTGCGCTCAGTCGTGGTTGTGGTTGCTTGTACCCGGAGCACAGGGCAACCAAAAACCCATGGAACGCTACCGTCTACTATTTTTTGTTGCTGCGGGCACATCAGCACGATGGCGAGCTCGGAGAAGCAATGGTGAACCACCCAGCTATATCTCAAGCACCGTGCGCACGAGCGGAATTGAAGCGTCAGGCCAGGTGGCGCTGTCGATCTCAGTCTGGCCACGCGCTGGAGGAGGCGCGTCGCTCTGTGATGCGCGGCTTTTCGGGGGCCGCCCAGCAACAAACAACCTCGTGCTATGAACCGTGACAACACGGCTTTCGGAGGCCGTGACCCCCGAAAGCCGCGCACAATGGGGTCACTCTGGCGAAGAGTCGCTCGCAAGTGGCGCCGATCGGTTCGCCACGGACAACCTTGCCCCAAAGCCCACCGGAAAATACGGGTCACAGAATGCGCTTGGTGTTTCATCCGGTGCTCAGGCATAGGGAAGAGCAACTGCTTGTCCAGATCAGCCCCTGTCAAAAGCTCTCTGCGCTGGCTGTGTACAGGGCTGACGCTTGTGGACAACGCCTTGACACTAGGGCCCGGGCCACTCATTCAAATGCAGCAGTTAGCAGCAACCTTGGGGGCCCGACAACTGCGGACTTACTGGAGAGCTCTTTCTGCCGCGCGTCAACATGAGCTCGGGCGCAGTACCGGGACAGGAAACTATGAGCAACGTCGCGTTGGAAAACCTCGCTGGAGGATATGCAGCCGAAACACGACACAGGAGAGCTCAGCAGGTAAGATCCGCGACCGTTCCTGGAGGGACGAAGTGGAGTGTCCTCAGGTCCCGTCAACTTCTCTGTGCTGAATCTTGTGATGCTCTGTCAGGGCCCACAGCCCAGAGTTCCCGGCGCGGCTGGGCGCGCCGGGTGTTCTCCGGTGTGGTCCCAGAACGAACCAAGGGGGCCCCAAGAGGCCCAAACGACTGCCCAAGAGGGCCCGAGTCGCCGAAAGATTGCTCCACGACGCCCAAGAAGGCCTCTAGACAGCCCAGGAGCCCCCCGAGACGCCCCATGAGGGCTCAAAGAGGCCCCCAAGGAGGGCGCCGAGAGGCCTGACTCATTGGTTTCTCCAGGACGTTGGAAGATTTGAACGTTCGCGCCTTTCTGGGCCTCCGACGCTCCAGGACGGCCCAAGATCGCTCCAAGATGGCACACGAGGCCACCAAGAGGGCCCCGAGTCGATCCCCAGAGGCCCCCAGGACGGCCCCGCGAAGCCCCCGAGACGGCCAGTGACGACGTCCCCATGAGGACTGGGCCAACGAAAGTGGCCAAGGATGGACCGAGGATGCAGGGTTACCCGTGGGAAGAGTGCCCATCCTCGGAAACTGGAGCATATACATTACCAGTGGCAGGCTGTTGCTCAATCCCAGGAAGTTCTGCGGGTCGGGGACGACGTCGGGGTGGTGTTGTGTATACTTGTTTCCCCGTTGTCCCATGGAAACAATAAAACATGTATACACCCGGATGCCGTATACACCATCATCCGTTTTCTTGTGCGAATCCCAATGCGGGACCGCAAAAAAGCATCGGTGTATAAAGTTCGGTTCCATACATCCTTGCTATGCGGGTTGACTGTATCACAAGACCACGAGGCGCCGCTGGGAGCCGCGCGGAGGCAGCTGCAGCTCCTGGCGGCCACAGCGCTGCTGGGGAGCCTCCAAGCGCAATCGACATTAGAGCACACTTGCGAGAGCCCCGCTGTCGAGCCATGGCACAATCAGACTGAATGTGGTGGCACCACGCTGCAAACGCGACCGGTCTCAGAGAGAAGCACCCTCTCCGCACACCGCACACCCCTTCACAGCAACCCCGACGGGGACGAAGTACGGCGCCTCAAAGGAATCGGCGACGCCGTGGCCAGAGGGGGACGCCAGGCAACCTCGCAGGGACAGATGCGGGCACTTGGGTCCAGCCCAACGTGAGGTCCTTTAGCTCTGATACTTGCTCCTGGTCGGAGGATAGAAAAGGTCCCAGCTGTCGGTAAACTCGTCGCCACAGGTGCTCTGCGCCGACTCCGTCGGGCAATACTTGTAATGCTCCGTGCCGTCGTCGGCGATGTAGCTTGAGTACCAGCCCTCCACGCACGCCCTGGTGGTGCAGAAGACGCACTGCCTCCGCGTCTCGTGCGCGGTCGTGGCGCCCGTCGTGAAGGTCGGGGGCGTGTCCAGCAGTGGGCAGTGGGCACCGTCGTCACCGATGCACACCTCCCCGATCCAACACCAAGGGCGCTGTGAAGAATCCCACAGGTTGGCGATGGCGGGGTGGTTGTTTGCGCCGTACCAGAAGAACAAGGTCCCTGCTAGGAGGCCAATGCCCAGAACCCAGGCGATGCAGCTGAAAACGGTTTCCCACCACTTCCGATGCATGTTGCGGCCAGAGGTCATGACAATCAAGATCCCAGCGATCAAGCCACCGACATGCACAACGTTGGACGCTGCACCTCCATCAGGATCATAGGTTGCATAGAAATAAGCAAGATCCACACTGCAGACCAACGACAATGTGAACAAAGTACCAAAGCGCCACTTCTTGTCGCCCCAGTTCATGACTAAGTCAGCAATGTGCATTCCGAGCATGGAGTAGCATCCTCCAGAAGCGCCGATTGTCTCGCGATAGGGATCGAAAAGTGCCCAGCAGCAGGCGCCGCCGAGGCATCCCAGCGTCCACATGACGGCGATCATACCTGTACCCTGCCAGCCCTCCAAGGGAACGCCGAGCACCAGTATCATGAAACAATTGACAAACATGTGACTGATGCTACCGTGCGTGAACTGATAGCTCCACCACCTCCACAGGAAGCTGATGTCGTAGCCGTGCTCGCAATTGTGGTGGGCCTTCAGGCTAGTGCGCCCAGGCCAGATGCTCTCCGCGCCTCCCATCTGGCCCAACGACGCACCGAGGGACCAGGCGTCCTTCTTGTAGACCCGCCAGTCCCACGCAGAGCGCGGGCACAACACGCTCGAGCTCGCGCTCGCCGGCAGCCTCTCGAGCAGGCGGCACTGGGGGCTCGGGCCTGGGAGCCACGCGATGCCCAAGCACGCCGCGCCAGCGCCGTCGCACTCCGCCTCGCACTCCGCCAAGAGCAGCGTCGTGCCGCCGTCCTTCGCGTGCGTCGCCAGGACGCCGCCGTCCGCCACGCCCACGCCGTAGGCCAGCGGCGCGTAGCTCCTCGCCCGGGGCGCGGTGGCGCCCCAGAGGACGAGGCACAGCAGGACCTCGACGATGCAGAAGCAGGGCACGGCCTGCCGGAGGTTGTCCAGGATCTCCTCCTCCTGCGCCTCGGACTCCACGTCGGCCTCCAGCACGCCGCCGGCCGGCCACGCGTGCACGACGACGCCGTGCATGGCGCGCTCCACGGCGAGGCCGGCGGCCCCCGAGACGCCGCCCGCCTCCCGGTGCGCGCGGAGGTGCTCCTCGTGCAGCCTTGCAGACTCGCGGCGCTTGCTCTGCCGCTCGGCCTCGTGCTGCGCCCTCCGCCGCTGCGCCCGCTCGCGGCGCTGGGCCTTCGCCCTCTGGTCCTGCGGCGGCCGTGTGAAGTTGAGCATCAGCTTCTTACTCCCTCCGTCGATCATGGCCTGCACGTCCGCGGCGTCGAAGTCGCCGTCCCCGTCCTGGTCAAAGCGCGCGGCGCCGAACCAGTAGGCAAAGAAGGCCAAGAAGGTGTAGCACACATACGCGCAGCAGGTGATGTCCTCATCTTTGACCTCCTGCTCCTGTGGTTGCCGGGTGGCCGCGTGTACGCTGGACTCCTCCACATCCGCCTCCGCAGCGGAAAACTCCTCCACTGCCGTCTCCGTCTTCGCGCTCAAGCCGGGCATGGCCCGCGGGACCGCTGGGTCAAGCTTTATCCCAGCTGGCATGGGCTATCGCAATAAAATGACCCCTAACCCTTTGGGAGGGGCTAAGTCAGGAGGGCCAACAACATTAGGAACAGGGGTCGATCCTGCAGATGTAACAAACCAAACGGCCCAGATCGATTGTTCCCATTTCAAGCACGGGGACCTAGGCTGCGTCTTCACTGTGATATTAGGGTTAGGGGTTCCTTTATTCTCGATGACCTTGGCTTTATCCAACACCGCCTGAGCCAAAATGGCTTGACCCGAAGCGGCGACAGAGCGGCCGCGATGGGGAACCTGATGCGAGAGCCGTTTCAGAGCGTTCTGGGACGCCCTGGAACGGATTTCTCTCGATTCTAGGCCCGTCCGCGTAAGTCCGCGTAACCCCGACTTGCATGTGCCACCATAGCCTGAGCCTTAGCGGGCCCCCCCGGACACGGGAGGGCCTTTTTTTCATCGTTTTCGAAAAGTGTCTTGAAAAAGAAAACGGCAACCAAAAGGCGACCCGAAACGGCCACAAAACGGCTCCGGGGTTGGAGCCGGAACCGGAAACGGCAAAACAACGGGCAAGAAAACGGCGACAGAACTGGCAGCAAAAACGGCAAAACGGGACCTGTAAACAAAAACTTCCGTGTCGCTTCCAGGGCCCAACACCACCCGAGCCAAAAGGGCTCGACCCGAAGCGGCGACGGAACGGACGCGCTGGGGAACACCTGGTGCGCGCAGGAACCGACCGTCCCGGCATAGGCTTACCACGAAATCTTCTCGGAACCCCATGGTGTTCCTAGAGCAAAAGCCATGTTCTTAGAGCATCGACCCGATGCGTCAAAAGACAGACTCAGCCAGTAAGATTCTAAGAGCTTTGGGGGAACCAAAAGGTACCGTCTCCGCTACTCCCCAGACCTCTCCTGGGGTGCGTTCTGACCAGGACGTCGAGGCGGATCTGGCGGCGGTGACGACGGAGGCACACGACGGAGGTCCAGGAGGCCCCAGACGGGGAAAACGAAGGGGAGGGTAGAGGTATGGGTACCCTTTCCTCCTCTGAACAATTTCCTGCAGACGACAAGGGGTTCCAAAAACATTCTTCGGTGGGCCTACAATGGAAACTGGTCCACAAGAAACCTTCCACAAGAAACCCAGCCCTGAGACCCCAGGACATCCCTTGTTGTTTGGTGTGGGAACGTCACACGCTTTCCACAGCAAAACCTTCGGGACCCAAGAAACCCAGGGCAGCCTGGAGGCAAGCAGGGCGTTTCTTGGCATGGGTCTCCACTGTACGAGGGCCGTCAGCGCGACACGCTGCATTGGAAACGGAGGGGCGTAGGAGGAGGAGAAGGAGGAGGAGGAGGAGAGAGGAGGGAGGAGGGAGGAGGGAGGAGGGAGGACGAGTACGAAGAACTCCGACACCACGTGGCTACTGAGCTGCATGTCCCGGACGCGGTGGGCAGTGCGTTTGCGCAGCTCCGAGGGCACGTCGCGCAACGACTCTTGCAGGCAGCCGAAAGCGGGGACGCGACTACCCTCCAACGGGCCGAGAAACTTTTCACCTTCTTCGACAGAGTCCTGTTCTTCAAGCCCGGCAAGACCAGAGGGGGGAGGAAGGCTGGGAAGAACAGAAGCGGCCGGGCCGCGATCTTCACGAGGCGCCTGCGGCTCGCGGAAGCTGGAGATTGGGGGGCGCTCTGGAGAGAGGCGCACACCGAGGCGGGAGCCGGACCGGCGCGAGCTCGGCGCGCTGACTCGCCCGCGAAAGTCGCCAGAGCAGTGGAAGCTCTCGCCGGCGAAGGCCTGGTCAGCAAGGCCATGACTCGTGGTTTCCGGCCGGCCACTGTGGCCACGGGCGAAGATGTTCTCGCCGACCTGCAGGCGCTCTTCCCCGCAGGAGCGGCCCCGCCAGCAGCTGCCGACCTCGCGCTCCCGGGCGCGGACACCAACGACGACCTGGTCACGGCAGTTAAGCGCCACCTCGCCCGCAGCCCGCGGATGTCTGGACCTGGGCCCAACGGGGGGCGCTTCGAACACTGGCGCACTCTCCTGAAGGACTCGGAAGCACTCGACGCCGTCGCTAAAGTAACGGTCCTCTTTCTGTACGGCCTGCTGTCCCCGCAGGCCATGCGGGCGAACCTCGGCACGCGGCTGGTGGCTCTCCGCAAGCGCAACGGGGGAGTCCGGCCCATTGCGTGTGGGAGCGTGCTGCGCCGCCTCGCAGCCAAGGCTGCCTGCGACGTCTTCTCAGATGACATAAAGAGCGCGTGTGGGCCGCACCAGTATGCTGTTGGCAAACCTGGAGGGTGCGAGGTGATGCACAAGTGCATCTCGGCGCTGACGGAGGCGGACCCACGGGCCGTCGTTCTTGCCTTCGACTGCACTAACGCGTACAACAGCCTCCCCAGGCAGCACATCCTCAACGGCCTGCGTGCCAGGGCGCCCGTGCTGCTCAAGGCCGCGCACAGCTGGCTCGGCGGCGAGACCACGCATCTGTTCTGGGACAACAACAACTCTGCTGCGCTCGTGCGGGCCACTAGCGGAGTCGACCAGGGGTGCCCGCTGTCGCCGGCTCTCTTCGCGATCACCGTGGCAGGGGCTCTTGACGCGATCAATGTGAGGCTTCGACAGCTGTCTCCTCAGTGCAGGGTGTTTTCCTACTTGGACGACATCATGGTATTTTCGCCGCCAGAACACGCCACTGCGGCAGCCCAGCTGGTTCCTGAGGAGCTCGCGCGCCTCGGCCTCACCGTCAACCCCGCAAAGACGCAGGCCTGGACGGCGGACCCGCAAGCCCCCTTCCCGCCTGGCATCAGTGCCCACCGCGCTGCGAACTTGCAGTGCCTTGGGAATGCCGCGCCCTGGCTGGAGCAACAAGAAGACAGGGTTCTGGTGCACGCTGGGGCAGACGGCGCCGCCGCTGTGAGCCGGGCTCGGGAATTTACCGCTCGGCTCCAGGAGCTACGAGCCGCTGGTTTGACAGCCGAGACGTTCTACACGCTGCTGCGCACGTACGGCCAGGGATGCGTCACACACCACCTCCGGGCGAATCTGCAGACCGGATGGGTCGGGGAGCTCGACAACGTGCTGTTCGCGGCGCTTGAGCACCTCCTCCAGGATCCCCTCAATGACGCGCAGCGCCTCCGGGCCACGCTCCGCCTCCCGGACGGGGGATGCGCATTCCCCTCCGCTTCCCAGACAGCTCCGGCCGCCTACGCCGCAAGCTGGGCCCTCTGCCTCCACGACGTGGCCGCCTGCTTAGGGATCAGCACCAGGGAGGAACTCGACGCCCGCTGTCCGCGCACCCTCACGGCGCTGTCCCAGGCGGAAAGGGCGCTCCGGGAAGCTGGGGCCTTGGGGGACGAGCCGCTGAATTTGCTGGACTACTTGCGGGAGCCGCACCACAAACGCCAGGGGCGCTGGGGCAAAGCTGCCTCGGAGGCCAACAAGAAGCGGCTCCTGGACACGCTGCTGGACGAGGACGGCCGCCTCTCTCTGTTGTCGAACGGCGGCACCGGGGCGGGCTCGTTCCTGTTGCCCCGGGGCGCTGGGGACGCTGCGCAGCCGGACAAGCATTTCCTCGTGAACTTGAAGATGCGGCTCGACATGCCCGTCTGCCCAGAGGGGGCTCGGTGCCAACACAAGTGCAAGAGCACCGGGCAGCGGTGCAACGAGCTACTCGACAGGAAGGGTTGGCACGCCAGGGCGTGCGAGGTTGGGGGCTCCCGGACTGGGAGACACAACCGCCTCCGGGACATGCACGCCAAGCGCCACGCCGAGCTCACTGGCCACGCGGCCCCAACAGAGCAGCGGATCCCTGCGTGGGACCGGCGCCTCCCTGACGGACGCGTCCAGGAGGCTGTCCTCGACGTCGTCACCATCGACCAAAACACCGGGCACCACATCCACGTGGATTGGGCCGTGACCTGCGCATACTCCACCTATGCCCCGCGCAGGCAGGCCCGGTCCCGGAGGTGTGGCCTCGCGGCGGCCCAGATGGTCGAGGATAAGCGAGCTCGGTACCCCCCGAGGCCCGGCCTGGAGCTCGTCCCCATGGTCTTCGAGGCCGGGGGGCGGCCCTCAGAAGAGGCCGCCGCCTTCGTGCGGAGCTGCGGCGGCGGTCTCGGGGACGAGGAGCGCTCGGAGCTCTTGAGCAGTCTCTGGCGGGAGATCTCCGTGACGCTGCACACGGGGAACGCCGAGATGCTCCTGAATGCGCTTGGGCAGTGAACGCCCGGGGTACGATTGCTACTACTGCGGCCAGCCTACTGCCCTGACCACCAAGATACGGCCACCACGGCCACCACGACAACCACCTGATTGTCGAACGGTCTCCGTCGCAGACGCCAGGACAACCAGCACGACCGCCGCGACCTCGGCGCCCGCGCAGACCACCGCGGCCGCCGCACCGCCGCCAGTTCGGCGACCAGCTCGACGACGACGCCCCCGCCCCCGCCGCCCCGCGCCGACGCCCTCAGCGTGACGACGGGAACGGCCCGCGCCGACGACGCCCCCGACACGGCGGCAACGCCTCCAGGCCGACAAGACGCCGACCCACGCCAGTGCCTCGGCGGCGCCCCCGCTCCCCGCCCCCCGCCTTCCTCCCCCTCCCTTCCCCCTTCCCCGCTGCCCTCCTTGCCTGCCGGCCGGCCGCCCCTGCATACAGCGCGCAGCCCCCTTCTTCCCTCCTCCTCCTCTCCCCTTTCTCCCGGTTGTATGTACTCGTGCGCAGGCCAGGCTCCAGAGGGAGGCCGGCCATTGTGTACAGGTGCAGGATTTCGGGGACCATTGCTCAGGGCAGCCCCCTGAGAGCTGGCGGGGGCGCCACACCCGCGGCCAGCGGGAGGGAAGGAGGAGGGGGAGGAGGGAGGGAGGGAGGGAGGGGCCATTGTGTACAGGTGCAGGATTTCGGGGACCATTGCTCAGGGCAGCCCCCTGAGAGCTGGCGGGGGCGCCACACCCGCGGCCAGCGGGAGGGAAGGAGGAGGGGGAGGAGGGAGGGAGGTAGGGAGGAGGAGGCGGAGGGAGGAGGGAGGAGGAGGGAGGGGATGGGAGGGAGGGAGGGAGGGAAGGGAGGGAGGAGGAGGAGAGGAGGAGGAGGAGGTGAGAGGAGGAGGAGGAGGAGGAGGGGGGAGGAGGAAGAGGAGAGAAGAAGAAGCGGAGAAGGAGGAGAAGGCCAGGAGGAGAAAGCTGAGAAGGGAGGAGGAGGATGGCAGGAGGAGGAAGGGAGGAGGAAGGAGGACGAGGAGGAGAATGGAGGAGGAGGAGGAGGAGGAG